GAGTCAGAATTAGGACAAGATGTTCACTTGTTAATGGCGTGTGTGTGTACATGTATGTTTTGCATGATTTAACAAGAACCCCCCGCCCTTTAATTTAGGTTCCTCACTTCACTCAGGTCTCTGCCCAGATGTCCTTCCCAGGGAGGCTCCCTTAGACCATTTTGTGTAAAAGAGTTGTTCTTCATCCCCTTACCTGGAGTATGAGTTTTCGGTGGCTGCTGTAACAAAAATGACCACAAACTGGGCGACTTCAAACAACATATATCTATTCTCCCACAGTCTGGAGGTCAGAAGCCGGACAGTCAGCTGGGCAGACACACCCACCCCCAGAAGGCTTTAGGGGAGATTCTGTCCTCACTTTCTCAGCTTCTTGTGGCCCTGTCACACCAACTTCTGCCTCTTCTTCACCTGGCCTTCTCCTTTTCTATGTGACAAATCTCACTCAGCTTCTTTCTTACAAGGACACTTGCGATTATATTTAAGTTCAGCTGAGTAATCTAGACTTATCTCTCCAGCTCAAGATCCTTAATTTGTCCATGCTACTGTCATGTGTAACTAATTAGAATAAATAAAAAATATTTTTGGTGCACACCTGTAAGTCCCAGTGGCTCTGGAGGCTGAGACAGGAGGATGGCAAGTTTGAGGCCAACCTCGGCAATTTAGTTAAAAGTTCTGGGAATGTAGCTCGGTGGTAGAGCACCCTGGGTTCAATCCCAAGTAATGAAAACAAAAAATTCCCAACTTCATCACATCTGCAAAGACTTTGCCATAGGAGGTTACATTCACAGGTTGCAGGATTAGGAAAGAGTATCTATGAGGGGATATTATCCAGCGTGCCACTCGACCAGGTACTTAACATCATGTTTCATCATGCCTGTGAGTGGTCTCCTCCCTTAAGCGACTGGGCCACTTGCATCCTGCTCATACCGTCAGTTCCCCAACACCTGGCACTGAGTCACACCCAGAGCTGGGGCGCAGAAAGTATTTGCCAACTGAATGCTGAAGCAAAGCACGTCGAGCATTTAGTGAGGGTGTGGCAGGGCCGGCACTCCGAGGATGGTCACCATGAGGAGTCGGTGGCTGGCTTTTCTGACATTGCTGAAGACAATCTTTAGCTACTGTTTAATGGAAAAAGAAATGAAAACTCAAGTCTGCCTCAGTGCAGGGTGTCCCTGGAGCTGCCCAGGTGAAAACAGCCCACTGAGTTCAAAGCAGCTACCTGGGACTCGGGACTTGGACCTCCTTGTGAGTTCATTTGGGAGTCTGCTTATTTTCCATCCCGATCCTGACCCCGGGGCAACATCCAAAGGGAAGATTGTCAACTCTGGGTCTGTATTTCTTCAAAATCTTTAAACGTGATAAAATATACGTTGCATACAATGTTGCCTTTTTAATTATTTTAAGCGGCCAGTTGGGAAGCATGGGGTGTTGACAAGGGCGTACATCCTTCACCACCCCCGTCCTTCACCACCCTCCGTCCCCTGAACTGTTTTCATCCTGCAAAACCGAAACTCTGTGCCTATGACACCTTCACTCCCTGTCTCCCTCCTCCAGTCCCCAAACCCTCCATTCTGCTTTCTGTCTGTGGATCTTATGTTCTGAGGAGGACAGAGAAACGGAATCACGCAATATTTGTATGATGTCCTCAAGGCTCCCACATACTGCAGCAGGAGGCGGAATGTCCTCCCTTTTGAAGACTGAGTTCGGAAGACGGTCTGTTAGGAGGACGCTCCACATCTTGATTCTCTATTCTTCATGGGTGGACATTTGAGTGGCGTCCACCTTTTGGCTCTTATTAGTAAAGCTGCTGGGAATGCGGGTGTACAGACTGCTCCTGAAGATCCGACTTTCATTTATTTGGGGTTTCTACTTAGAGGTGGAATGGTTGGATTTTCTGATAATTCCATACTTAATTTTTAAAACAAATAGCCTTCATGTTTTCCATAGCAGCTGCATCCTTTAACCTTCCCACCAATAGTGCATTGAGATTCCAGTTTCTCCATATCTTTTCCAATAAATGTTATTTTATGTTTTTTTATTTCTTTTTTTAAATATTTTTTTGAGAGAGAGAGAGAGAGAGARWWTTTTTAATATTTATTTTTTAGTTCTCGGCGGACACAACATCTTTGTTGGTTTGTGGTGCTGAGGATCGAACCCGGGCCGCACGCATGCCAGGCGAGCGCGCTACCGCTTGAGCCACATTCTCCAAATTTGCCGATGACCCGCCTTTGCCCAGCTCCCAGCTGTTTTCCCAGGGTGTGCTAATGAGGGGAAACTTCACTTCTGATGCGGTTTGGTGTCGACTCCTAGAAGAGACCTGATGGAGGGAGGGCATCACGGGTGGGGCACGTGGGGACAGGGGACCCGGGAGAGGACCTGAGCCCAGGGTTCCTCTAGCTGTGTTGTCCAAGCAGATGGGATCACTTGGGTGGTAGGATTGGGAGCAAAAGAGAAGAGGGCAGGACCCAGCCATTTTCAAGAACCTTCTTGGGGTTCCCTGGGAATTGTGGTCCCTAAAGAGAGAGTGATTGACGTTGGCCCCTGGTAGGGACTCAGGGAACCTCCGCTAGCTCCTGCCTCCTTTGAATTTCAGGAACTGGGCCTGGAAAATGGAGAGAAGGGTAAAACCTATTTCGAAGGACCCATGTGAGATTCCACGAGGAGGGGGTTTCGCAGCCTGATCACGGTGCCTGGCGCCCAGTAAGCCCTTCATCGCTGCTCACTGTTTTCTTCATGTTCTTGTTTTGGTTTCTCCAGGAGCTACCCCAAGGCAAGGGCCAACTGTGTCTTTGAGAGGCCACTGCAGAAAATACCAGTAAGGACGGAGAACCCCAAAGAATTGAAAACAGGTACTAAAAAAAAAAATGTGTGCATACATGTTCATCGTAGTATATTTCTCAGTAACCCCAAAGTGGAGACAGCTCAAATGATTGTCCAACAGATGAATGGATTAACAAAGCATGGCATGCCCAGGACTGGGGCTGTAGCTCAGGGGCAGAACATCTGCCTATCACGTGTGAGGCACTGGGTTCACACCTTAGCACCGCATAAAAATAAACAAGTAAAGGCATGGTGTCCACTTACAACTACATTTTTTAAAAAAAATGTGGCATGTCCATTCAGGGGAATATCACTGAGCAGTGCAGGAATGAAGCTCTGAGTCTTGCAAGGTGTGGATGAGCCTTGACAGCACTATGCCAAGTGGATTAAGTTAGACACCAAAGGCCACATCCTCTGTGAGTCCTTTATATGAAACATCCTGAATAGTCACATCCATGGGGACAGAAGGCAGGTTAATTGTTGCCAAGGGTCTCAGGGAGGGAAGATGGGGAGTGAGTGCTAATGGGCATGGGTTCCTTTTTGGTGTGATGAATGTTCTGGAACTGGGTAGAGTTGATGGCTGCCCGACCCTGTGAGTGTCTTAAATGCCACTGAGTGGTCAACTTTTTAATTAATTTTCAAAAGTCTCAATTACACATGTTTATGGGGTGCAAGGTCAAAATTCAACACCTGTGTACAGTGTGTAATGATCAGAGCAGGTAGTCAAGATCTCTCTCCCCTTAAACGTTCAAAAAATGGATTGACACATCATCTTCGTACATATTTATGGGGTACAGTGTGATATTTCCGTGTGTGTATATGATATGCACCAATTAGATTGTGGCTCTCAATATCTTCATCTCTTTGTGTTTGGAGCCTTCGAATGACTCTCTTCTAGTTCTTCATAAAAAAAATATATAAAATAGGGCTGGGGTTGTGGCTCAATGGTAGAGCACTTGCCTGGCATGTGTGAGGTCCTGGGTTTGATCCTCAGCATCATAAATAAATAAATAAATAAATAAATAAATAAATAAATAAAGGTTCATTGACAACTAAGAAATATTTTTAAAAAATAGGTTGCTAGGCACAGTGATGCACACTAGTAATCCCAGTGACTTGGAGGCTGAGGCAGGAAGATAGCGTATTTGAGGCCAGCCTCAGCAATTTACTGAGACCCTGTCTCAAAATAAAAAGGGCTGGGATGTAGCTCAGGGGTAGTGTGCCCCTCAGTTCAATTTCCAGTTCTAGTGTATGTATAGTAGATAGAAGTTATTCCTTCAACTTAACTGTGCTGGTACCCATTTCCCTCTGCGCCTTCCCGGCTTTCCATCTTCTAATGATTACTGTTACATATTCCAGCTGACTTTCTTTTTAAATATCCACCTAGGAGGGAAACATACATATCTATCTTTCTGTGTCTTATTTATGTCACTTGCCAGGTGTGGTGGTGCAGTCCCAGCTACTCAGGAAGCCAAAGCAGAAGGATCGATTGAGTCCAGGAGTTCAAGGTCAGTATGGACAACATAGTGAGACCCTGTAGTAAACGATCAACAGGTTGAGTGACTTATTTTGCTTGACATCATGTCCCCCAGCTCCATCCATTTGGCTGTCGATTTTTTTTGTTGCTCCCTCTACAATAGGATTCTATTGTAGGATATTGTTCTTTCTTTATGGCTGAATAATATTCCATTGTGTGGATTGCTCACTTTAAAATGATTTATTTTGTCTTATGTAAATTTCACTCAATTGGGGAAAAAAAAAAGAGGGAGAGGGAGGTAAGACAGGGGCAGGGAGGCAGCCAACAGAGAAAGTTTCTGCAGTGGGCAGCTGGAGTTTAGTCCTGCTGGGGAAGCCGCGACAAAGGAGCCGGGGTATTTATCCACCAATGTGCATCCGCCATCAGCTGAGAGCCGCTCCTTCCAGGATTCTGATCAGACGGACAGGGGCAGAGAGCTCTATGGGGCAGAGGTCACCAGGGGTGACCCTGCAGGGGTCAAGGCTTGAAGGCATCTGGATGGGACTGAGTGCCATTTGGAGACAGCTGGGGGTGTCGTGGCTGGGGATGCAGAGGGGTCTTGGTGTCAGGACTTGAGCACACCTCGCTTGACCCCTTGGCCATCTGCTGGGTGGCCTGGTGTAGCGGGGGCGTGGCCCCACCAGCTCCGACTCTCCACCCCTAGATGCTGCCCATCACCGACCAACTCCTGCAGCTCCTGGGGCTGGAGAGGACCGCGTTCCGCGTGTACGCCGTCTCCGCGCTCCTGCTCTCCGGGCTCTTCTTCCTCTTCCGCCTGCTGCTGCAGCTCGGGCGCCTCTGCTGGGGCTTCTACGTCACCTGCCGCCGGCTGCGCTGCTTCCCCCAGCCGCCCCGGCGCAACTGGCTGCTGGGCCACCTGGGTATGGTGAGTACGGCCGGCAGAGCTGGGCACGCCCCGGGATTCAGCCAGGTGGTGGCTCTGCTGGCCTCCAGGACTCTGGTCACATACCCTCCATGGCTCCCCATTGCCCTTATGAGTGCCTCCACTGGAGCTCAGAGGCGGCAAGCATTTAGCCTCATCTGGATGCCTTCAAGCCTTGTCGCCTGCAGGGCCACCCCTGGTGACCCGAGGTCCCACAGTTGGGATGAGGCAGAGCTGACGTGAAAGATGAGTTCTTTCTATAATCCTGTAGCTACTGCTGTAGCACTAGGTACCCTCCCTTGTAAAGTGGGGGATGCAGGGGTGGGAGTAGGAGTGGGGAAGGAGGCGCCTATAGATTTTGTTGCTTCCTCTACATCCCAATGTGGCTTCACTCTCTCCCTCAAATGCTCTGATCCCGGGTCACCATTCTAGCCTTTTACCATTCCTTGTGTTTCAATTTTTATTTCATGAACATATTCCGAGTATTATTCTAGGCAAATATTAACTCCTTCAGCCCTCTTGACAATCCTAGAAGTTAGGTCTCAGGACTCTATTATTATTTTGTACCTAAGAATACTAAGGTACAGAGAGAGACCCAGTAAGTATGTGACAGAGCCAGGGTTCAAACTCAGGCTGTTTGGCTTCACTGTCCCTGCTATGGATGAGACAGGCAGGGTTTTTCCAAAAAGCCGACAGAAGTCAGGAGAGAAACCCAGATCCTGAGAGCAGGGAGGTTTGCGGGTCCCAGGACCCAGCTGCTTGGACCCCTGGACCCACTTCTAGGCCTCAGTGAAATTCAGGAACAGTCTCTGGAGACCCCTGGTCCAGGCATCATGCTGGGCTTTGAGTGAACTTTGGATAGGCAATGGTCATCATTGTGGATTTTGGAGCCCTGGGTTGGAGGCCCATCTCTACCATGTACTGGTTCTGTGAGGCAGGCAATTTAACTGCTCCGTGCCTCAGTTTCCCCACTTGCTCCGGGGAAGTTCTTGGTAGCCTCATGGTCGTTGTTTGGATTCCTCGGGTTGTGCTTGTGCCCTTGACACTCATCTTGGCTTTTAGCAAGCGCCTTGTGGCAGAAGTGTCTGCTCAGCTGCTGGGTCCTGCAGAAACTGGAAGCATCGAAGGATTCTAGGAGTAATTTTAGGCACTGCTTGGACTGACTGTCTGGGAAGAAGGACTGGGATACATATTTGCACTTAGTAGCTCAAAGAACATTTTGTTTAAGGGTGAGAATTATCTCAGATGGAAGGCTGAGGAGGGAGGAGGTTCCCAGCCCTTCGTCCCCCCTGGGGACCATCAGATTTTGCCTGTGTGTGCCTAAGTCTCCTTCCTTCCCTCAGCCCCAGCCCTGTCCATCCTCCCCAGCTGGGCCACGGTAGAGCTGCTTTCCATCTCAGTCCTTCAGTGTGTCTCCCATCCTGACCCCAGAGGTATTCTTTGTTTTTGCCTTTTGCAGTGCTGGGCACTGAACCCAGGGCCTTGTACAGTTTTTAGGCAAGAGCTTTACACTGACCCATGCCCCCAGTCCTCCAGAGGGATTCTTGAATCAAACCACGACCCTCTCCTGCTCACATACCCTCCATGGCTCCCCAGTGCCCTTGGGAGAAAGGCTCACCCTTTCAACTCTGACCACACCCTCTCACCTGCTTCACCATCCTCCCCAGTCCTGAGGATTGGCTTCCTGTTTCTGTACCAAGGCTCCAGCTTCCAACAGCCTTTGCTGAATGATGCCCTCTGTTCTCTGCTAGATAAACTTCTCCTTGGTCTTCACGCCCCATGTCCAATGTCCTTGCTCCAGGAAGCCCCTTCTGGCTCCAATGGTGGTCCAAAAGCCAGTGGTGACTAGCCTTTGGGGCCCTGGGCAGTTGGCCAGGGCTGGCTCTGCAGCTGAGTCCTGAGCCCATGAGGCCCATGAGGACTGGGTGAGGCCCGGTTTGCCTTGGGTACGGATGGGCAGAGGGCTGAACCTGGTAGAGAAGGAGATGCTGGAACCAAAGAGATTAATTTGTTCCTTTAATAATCGTTGGGACCAATCACTGGCCAGGTACTGGGTTAGGTTGTTAAAATCAGAGCCTTTCCCTGTTTCTTTCCTTTTATTTAAAATTTTTTTTAATTGTTGATAGACCTTAATTTTATTTGTTTATATGCAGTGCTGAGAATCGAACCCAGTGCCTCACACGTGCCAGACAAGTGCACTACTGCTGAGCCCCAGCCCTCCCCTGTTTCTTTTTTTTTAAAATATACTTTTTAGTTGTAGATGGACACGGTCCCTTTATTTCGTTTATTTATTTTCTTACATGGTGCTGAGGATCAAACCCAGTGCCTCACATGCTAGGCAACCTCTCTACCCCTGAGCCACCGCCCCACCCAGCCTTCCTGGATTTCTCAGTCTATAAAACAGGGATGGATCTGCCCTGTTTTATGGATTCACTTTTATAGACGTGAGCCCAGAGAGGTTGAGTTGACTTGCCCACGGCCACACAGCTGCTGAAGATGAATTTGAACTCAGATCCATCTGACCGGATCCTCAAGGGCTGCCTCCCAGAATGTATAGAGCGGGGCTGTCCACCTTCTCTAGACCCCGACTTTGCCACCGTGAGGGACAAGCCGACACCTGCCCATGTCTCTGAGTGCAATGGTCCATACTTGGGCTGGCACCTGCATTCTAGGGGCTTTGGGAGTTAGTGCCCCCAGGAGCAGCCCGCAGCCAAGGTCTGATGGACACCGGTGGAGACACACTCCAGCGCCCTCCCCCTTGGGTGGCTTGACGGCTCCCCTGCGCTGGCTGCCGTCCCTGTCCCTCGGTCCCCTCCGGTCTCACTTCCCCATGTCTCCCCATGTTTGGGAGGGTCACCTCCCACATGAGCTGCATCCCCAGGACCCTTGTTTCAGCATCAGCTTGCAAGGGAGCCCCACCAGGACAGTTGCCCACTCACTTGGGACCCCAGACAAGCCCTTTGACCTTTCTGAACAAAGTCAAGTGGAAAAAAGAATAAACCTCCCCGGGTTCTCGCACACGTCCAGGGGTCCATGTGGAACAGGCATCACTCAGCAGCGCAGCGTGTGCGCACGTGTAGTTTAAGAGTTAAGGCTGAACCTCGTAAATGCAGAGGGTGTCCGAGCTGTGAAGGGCTAAGGGGGGGGGTAAGTGGGGCTAAGGGGGGGCTAAGGGGGGGGCGAAGGGGGCATCTGCGCAGCAGCGGCTCCTGCTCTCCTCCGTGGGCAGTGGAGATGGGTGGGGGCTTTCACAGCTGGGTTTGTCAAGTCCCCCGCAGCCGCCTGGGGGATGGTGGCAGTGGCTGTGGTTATTATTAGTGTGGGTCGCTGACGGTGCAGCTTTGCACACAATTGAGGCCTGAGACGGTGGGATACCTAGTGTCACCTCTGGTCTTCAAAACTCTAAATAAAATACCAAATTGGGCTGGGGATGTGGCTCAGTGGTCAAGTGCCCCTGAGTTCAATCCCCGGTACCAAAAAAAAAAAAAAAAAGAGTGGGCCTAATTATATTGTGATGGTGTATGTTGTGTGCATGTGCAAATACGTGACAACAAATCCTGTCACTATGTACAACTATACTGCACCCATAAAGATGTGGGAAAAACTCCAATTAAAAACATGAAGTGGGGTGAATCCTAGTTTTACTGATAGGGTTAGTGTTAGTGTATTTGCACTGCTGTGTAAGTGAACTTTTTTTTTTTTTTTTTTTTTGGTACCAAGGATTGAACCCAAAGGTGCTTAACCACTGAGCCACATCCCCAGCCCTTTTTTAAGTTTCAAAACAGGGTCTCACTAAGTTGCTTAGAGCCTCGCTAGGTTGCTGAGGCTGGCTTTGAACCTGCGATCCTCCTGCCTCAGCCTCCCGAGCCACTGGAAACACAGGCGGTGCATCACTGCACCTGGCCTTGAACTTCTAATAAGTAAACTTTTCTATAAATAAATATATACATATGTATCTATGGATACATATACAAATACAATGTAAATGTCTACATAAATATATACATATGCACGTATGTACTAGAATTCAACCTGGGATGCTTTACCACCGAGCTGCAGCCCCAGCCCTTTTTCTTTAATTTTTTTTTTTGTAGTTGTAGATGGACAGCATCCTTCATTTCATTTGTGTGTCTTTATTTGATGCTAAGTATCTAACCCAGCACCTCACACGTGCGAGGCAAGCGCTCTGTCACTGAGCTACAGCCCCAGCCCCTTTTTTCTTTTTTGAGACAGAGTCTTGCTAAGTTGCCCAGGCTGGAACTGAACTTGAGATCCTCCTGCCTCAGCCTCCCAAGTGGCTGGGATCTAGACATGTGCCCAGGGCAAGGGTCCTAGTGGTAATTTTTAATAATATAGCAAATATTTGAAAAAAGCCAACACTTACCATTAATGTGTTTACAATGACTATTTTCCTTTCTTTTTTTGTGATGGGGTCTCACTATGTTGCCCAGGTGGCCTCTGAACTCCTGGGCTCAAGGGGTCCTCCTGCCTCAGCCTCCCAAGCTGTTGGTACTGCAGGCCTGTGTGGCCGCCGCGTGGGGCTTATTTTTATTTCTTGAGCCAGCCGTGTGCGGGGGCCCCATGGTGGCTCTTACTTCTTTCTCTGATCCTCTGGGCTGTCCTCAGAGGGAGACTTGGTGTTCTCCATTTATCAGAGGAGGAGGTGGAGGCTCAGCCAGGTGCAGCCACCACCACAGTCATTTAGCACTTCTGGGCTCATTTTTGAGGTGAGGGAGGTGGCAGGAGGGCAGGACTGGAGGACGCTGAGGCTGAGCATGTCCTCACTCCCCTCTTTTACCTACCGCAGTACCTTCCAAATGAGTCGGGCCTTCAGGACGAGAAGAAGGTGTTGGACAGCATGCACCATGTGGTCCTGGTGTGGATCGGACCCGTCCTGCCGCTCTTGGTTCTGGTGCACCCTGATTACATCAAGCCCCTGGTGGGCGCCTCAGGTAGGCAGGCTGGGCCCCTTGGGTAAGTGCTGACTGAGCCCTCATCTCCCGTATTCTATCTGGGCTTCTAGGCAGGTGGTCTCTCCAGAGGAAGGGGCACTTGAATAGGGCTTTAAGGAATGAATAGGAGTTCATCAAGGCAGCAATGGCAATATGGTTTATGGAACATCGGGGACAGAAGTGTGACAATGCCTAGAGTCCCAGTAACTTTAAGAGGCTGTCCACCTCCCTGGAAGTCAGAACCAAGCAGGTTTGGATAGGAAGTTGTTCTCTTCAGGTTTTGTTAAGTAGGTGTTGCTCAATCCCAGCCCGTGACACACCCATCGTTTGAGTTGTGACACTCCCACCATGACTGGCTTCTTGGTGGCCCATCCTTCAGCCTGCTTTCACCACCTAGGCTGACCTTGACTAGCAAGAAGGGAGACGTGGAAGGCTGGCGTCTCCTTGCTGCGGTCCACACCTGTCCCAAGCGCTGGGACTCCAGCTGTCCCTCCTCTCTCTCATCCCTCAGCACCCAACTCCAGAGACTCCTAGCTCTCTCCTCGGGACATTTTGTTCTCAGTCTTGATCCACTGGGGCTGGGTGAGGCCACGTCCAGCTCTTCTGCCTCATGGTGGGACATAGTCTCGCATGGATCTGGGCATCAGGGGACATTGGAGCATGGAGGGATGTGAAGGAAAGATCCCCAAGAATTTGGGGGTCTCTACCAACCCACATCTGGAGATTGCCTTCCAAGCTGCCTCCCAGGGGTGGTGAAAGGGGCAGGGCTGCCCGCCTTTCCTTCCCCAGCTGTGTCCTCCGCAGCCCCGTGGTCCCCCCTTATTGCACCTGGGAAGGAAGGATGATCCCCACTGAACTTCAGGGGACCCTAGACCCTGGGAGAAGTGGTTCTTTCCTCCAAGCACCGGGCACCCATTTGTGGCCAGAAGCCTGAATCAAAGCTGCAAAGGGCTGGGTCCAAATCCTGGCTTCTGCCCATATTTGCTGTGTGATGCTAGTGGTTTTGCAAGCCTCTCAGAGCCTGTTTCTGCTCTGTCAAAGGGGGGCTGTTACTAAGACTGACTAATGTGAGGACCGGGGTGTAGTTCAGTGGTGGAGTGCTCACCTAGCACGACGAGGTCCTGGGTTCCACCCCCAGTATCGCAAAATCACAGCATGATATATAACACGGGTAGACGTGAATAAGGGCTTTTTCTCTTTAGTATATTTTATTTTATTTTTTGTAGTGCTGGGGATGGAACACACCCCATGCCTCTTACATGCTGGTCAACTGCTCTACCACTAAGCCACACCTTGCTGCTGTCCACACCTATCCCAAGCTCTGGGACTCCAGCTGTCCTCATCTCTCTCATCCCTCAGCACCCAACTCTAGAGACTCAGAGCTCTCTCCTCGGGACATTTTGTTCTCAGTCTTTTTATTTTATTTGGAGACAGGCTCTCGCTACATTCTCCAGTTTGGCCTTGAACTTGAGATCCTCCTGCCTCAGCCTCCTAAGTAGCTGGAATGGCAGACCCACGCCACTGGGCAGGCTGTCTATCTTTTTAGTGTACTTTTCCTTCTTCTCTCTCCACTTCCTTCCTCCTTCCCTCCTTTCTCTCTCTCCCCCTGCCTTTCCTCTGTCTCCTTTGCCTCCGTCTCCTCCTCCTCTTCCTTCTTCATCTGACTCCTTAGAACATCAGTGTCCTGAGCACCTTCTGAGTGGTGGTTAAGTCCCCAAGGAGAGCCCCAGCATGGTCCCCTCACTTCATAGACACTCAGGCCCCTTTCCCTCCCCTCTTCTCCTCTCCTGCAGGACAGGCAGGATCTCCACCGCCTCCTGCAACGGAGGAGTAGATGGGGGTCTCCCGACAGGAGAGGGTGGGGCTGTCAGCGTGGAGGGGGCCTCCTGGCCTAGGCGTTCCCGTCCCTCTGTCCTTCCTGCTGGAATTGAGCTGGCCTGCCTCCAGCTCACAGCCTTGGTCCTCCTCTGGGGTGGAGGATGCTGCTCTGGGGTTGAACCTACACAGTCCCCGGGCCCCAAGGAAGGCCTGGATGGCGCCTCTTGGAACTTTCACCTCCTAGTCTTCTGGGCACGTGGAATAGGGACTATTCATGGGCAAAAGTAGGTGGAAAGCTTTACAGAAGACAAGTCATGATCTAGAAGCCTGTCAGCACAGCTTGTTGGGATGCACTCATTTTTTTTTTATTGGGGTGAAATTCACATAACGTACCATCAACCGTTTTAAAGGGAATAGTCGGTGGCACCTGATGTGGTCCCAGAGTTGTGCAACCACAGGTCTCCCTAGTGTCAGAAGATGTTCCTCACCCCGTAATCCATCCCCCTGCCTGTTTCCTGGTACCTCCCACCTGCTTCCTGTCCCTGCATTGATCTGGTCTAGAATGTCATATAGAAGGAGTCACACACACTGGGTCTCTGCTCTCAGGTCTTGGTATGGCTGCATTCCCTCTTCTTCCTTCCTCCATCTCTTTTCTTTCTTTCCTTTCCTTTCCCCGCCCCTTTTCTTTCTTCCTGTGTTGGGGATTAAACCCAGGGCCTCCCACATGCCAGGCAAGCTCTCTACCCCGAGCTCCAGCCTCTGTGTTTTCATTTCTCTTGGGATACCTAGGAGTGGAATGGTCTGTCTTTTGTAATTCTATATTTGACTTTTTTTTTTTTTTTGGAGAACCCAAGGCCTCACACAGGCTAAGCACATACAGTACCACCCAGCCACCCAGTTGTGTATTTGACTTCCTAAGGAAGGCCCTTGCGATCTTCCACACCAGCTGTGCATTCATTTGTCACTAATAGGGGACCTGGATAGCCACCTCACAAGTTTTTGATGCCAATAAGCAATAATTATAATTGCAGTAACCAAAGAGCCAGCAGCGGGTCAATTATTCATTTACGCGCACACATATTTAATGAGCATCTACCAGGTGCCAGGACACACTGGCTTGCTGAGTGTCACAGGATGCCATGAGGCAAGATTGTTCTGTTTCCTCCTTCTGCAGATGAGGGGATGGAAGGGGCAGAGTGGTAACAGATCCAAGTCTGGACAGTGAGTGAGTAGCAGGGCTGGGGTTTGAACCCAACTCAAGCTCTCAACCACGGTGGTCTGTAGCCTTGGGTGGGAGAGCTGCCCCCTGCCGGGCACCACGTGGGGGGCTTTTCTCCTGAGTGAGGCATTAAGGGCTCCACTCTGCTGGAGACGGAATCTGATGGGAGGAGATGACTCTTTTGGCACGGGGGATAGAGTTGGAGTGGAGAGGGACCTGAGGTCAGGAGAACAAGGGTTCCGCTGGGGAGAGGGATTGGTGAAGGCTTCCTGGAGGAGGCTTCAGTGAAACCAGGCCTTGAAGGATGCCTAGGACTTTGCCAACTAGAGACACCTGACATTCCCAAGGTACAGCTGTGGAAAATACCAGGAACATTCAGGTCACTGGGTTGGCTGGAGTGCAGCGTGGGAAGTAGGAAATGAGATTGAGAGTTAAGCAACAGCTGGATTGAAAAGCAAATGAACTTGCCCTTGATCAATAGGGAGCCATGGGAGGTCTTTGAGCAGGGCAGCCATTGATCAGATCTGAGTGTCAAATCAAACCCCACCGGGCACCTAACCTGGAGTTCAAAGTCCAGGGAGGAGAGGCATAACCGGACTCCCACCTTCCTCTCCAACACTGCCTCCTCCAGGAAGCCTGCTCTGACTTCTAACAGCCCTTTCTCTGTGCCACCCTTAGCACCTGGCACACTTTCTGTCTTCTTGATAATTGCACGGTGTGCCTTGACTTCCTTTTTCCCACACCACCCCAGAGCTCCTCCAGGCAGGGCGTGGAGCTGAGCCCTCCTTGGGTCCCCAGCGTCATACATCGAGGGTTGGGCATGGAACGGCAGCTGAAGGGGTGTGTCAAATGGGAGGATGAGGCGACTGATGACTGTGTGTACCAATTGGCCAACTGCAGGGCGCGTATGTAGGGGGGGCGGGAGCTGAGTCATATCCAGTCTTCAGTGACTGCGTTTGCATCTCAGGTCCTTCCTTTTTCGGCCACTCCCCATTCAGTCCCAAATCTTTTCATTGTACAGAAGGGCGATGCAGCTCTCCCTGCATCCACCCACACACCACCCATACATCCTTCCACCAATCCATTTTTCTTTTATTCACCCATTCTTTGATTGATGGGCTCATTCATTCATTGAATAAAAATTTCTTCAGCACCAAATGTTAGTGATCAAAATGGTCTCTTCCCATGAAGGGCTTAGAACTGGACATTTACCATCCAGTGGGATTGGAGAGAGCAAATGCAGCACCCAATCTGAGACCAGAGGATAAGGACAGAGTGTTTGGGGATGAGGTGGCAGCTCATGGAAAGACTTGGAGTGGAGCGGGCACATGGCCTTTTTGAAGAGCTGGGAAAAGTTCTGTGATATTGAGCAGGAGGGGGCTGGGTGACCCCCCCCCCAGTTTTAAAAGTTTTTGAGACAGGGTCTCTAAGTTGCTCAGGGCCTCATTAAGTTGTTGAGGTGGACCTTGAACTTGCGATCCTCCTGCCTCAGCCTCCCCAGTCCCTGGGATCGCAGGCGTGCACCACCACATGCAGCTAAAGGTGTCTGTGTTGAGAGAGGGCTGCACAAGGGCAGAGCATCCAGGGCCTTGGAAATGGGCTGAGCTGCTGGTACTTGAGGGTTGATGGGTGTGTGAACTGGGAGGGACCTGGTCAGATCTGATAGTCAGGTAAGATTCCCCCTGGGGCCAGCGTGATGGACAGACAGGGAGGGTGTGACTGGAGGTGGGAAACCCAGGAGGTATAATTCCGGATGGCCCGAGCTGGCAGGAAAGAGCGGGGAGGGTTAGAGGGTGACTCCATTCCGCAGGGAGCACACAGCTTGGCTGTAGGTTTGGAGGTGAATGTCAGCGTGCAATGAGAAGGGGATGATCTGATGTGTGAGAAGCATGTGGAGGCCACATGGGGCAGGGCCTTTCAGCACTGGGCTGAGCTTGAACTCTTTCACAAGGGCAATGGGGAATCGTGGGAGGTAACATGAACAGGGGTTTCGTGTTCAGATCAGTGTGTTACAGGGATCTTTCTGGTTTGGGTGTGAAGGGTAGACTGGAGGGGTGAGGTGGGAGGTGGGAGAGGCGGCCCTAGGAAGTCATAAGCAGAGGTCAGGGTCAGAACTCTGTCTTGAATCATCTTTGCCTCCTGTCTCTGCACAGCTGCCATTGCTCCCAAGGACGACCTTTTCTACAGCTTCCTGAAACCTTGGCTAGGTGAGTGCCGAGCGGGTAGGCTGGGGCTGGGGCTTCAGGGAGGAGAGGGCAGGGCGAGGGGTTCCTTGGAGGGGTCAGAGGAGCAGGGGAAGCCCCTTGACCTCAGTCTCCTGGGCCCAGGGGACGGGCTTCTGCTCAGCAAAGGTGACAAGTGGAGCCGTCACCGCCGCCTGCTGACGCCTGCCTTCCACTTCGACATCCTGAAGCCCTACATGAAGATCTTCAACCAGTGCACCAACGTCATGCACGTGAGTCTCCAGGCGACAGGGGAAGGGGGCGGCAACTGCTCCAGCCCAGCTCCAGGGCGAGCCACGTGCTGTCGGGAGACCTCAAGTCCTTGAGCTGTACCTCGGGTGTGTGGTGAGTGATGATGACCTGTGGCGTGCTGTCTGAGGTCCCCATGCCCTGTCTCTCTTCCAGGCTAAATGGCGGAGGACTCTGGCAGAAGGCTCGGTGGCCTCCTTTGACATGTTTGAGCACATCAGCCTCATGACCCTGGACAGTCTTCAGAAATGCGTGTTCAGTTACAACAGCGACTGCCAGGAGTGAGTGTGACCTCCCTCGGGGGACAGAGCCGGCTGCCCAGGGAGAGGCAGTGGGAGGAGAAAGGGAACTCCCAGCTCTTGGGCAACCCAGGCTGCTGGCATCTGCCACTGTTGGACAGATGGCTGTTTGGTTCCAAAAAAAAATGACATCACCGGGGGCTGGAGTATGGGCAGGGAAAGCCCTCGCCTGGCACGTGTGAGGCCCTGAGTTTGATCCTCAGCACCACATAAAAATGAACAAAACAAGGTGCCCTGTCCTTCTACACCTATTTTTTTTTAAATGATACCACCTCTCTGAGCCTCAGTTCCCTTCCCCCCCAAAAAAGAGACATTATAACTTTCCCCCATGGTCATGGTGTCACTGTCTTAATTAGATGGTTGTCAGTGGCTTGGCACGTAATAGGGGATCAGGCGATGCCACTTTCCCTCATTCCTCCGCAAAGAGCGTAGAGTCCTTGGAAAGTGTCCCTCCCTTTCTGAGTCTCGGTTTCCTTATTTGTAAAACAGAGATGATAATATCTGGGGAGGTGCTGGCAGGATAAAATGATGTCACAGTGCCCTGGCACATGGGAGGTGCTCAATGACTATCTGTTCAATGACCCTAATAAAATAGTCATTACCCTGGTTTGTTAGTTCATTCATTACATTCACCAGAGATTCATCATGGGGGCTCCCCAGCCCCCTGGGCTCAGTGACAGAGATTGCCTAGCATGCACCAGGCCCTGGGTTCTATCCCCAGTAGTGCAAAAACTAACACACACACACACACACACACACACACACACACACACAGACACACATACAAATTCTACAGAAAATATAGGTGATATGGGGCCTCCCTTGTCATCACTCGGTGGAGAGAGGAGGCCTGACCCAGCCAAGCTGTGCCCCTGGCTGGCGGGGACTGGGCCTGGTCCTCGGCTCACGGTCTTCTCCCTGGCAGGAAGATGAGCGATTATATATCGGCCATCATTGAGCTGAGCGCGCTGGTCGTCAGGCGCCAGTACCGCCTGCATCACCACCTGGACTTCATCTACTACCTCACAGCCGACGGGCGGCGCTTCCGCCAGGCCTGCGACACGGTGCACCGCTTCACCACCGAGGTCATCCAGGAGCGGAGGCAGGCGCTGCGCCACCAGGGGGCCGAGGCCTGGCTGAAGGCCAAGCAGGGCAAGACCTTGGACTTCATCGATGTGCTGCTCCTGGCCAGGGTGAGGCAGGGCCCTGGAGCCGGGACTTCCCCAGAACGGCACCGAGTGTGTAAAATGACAAATGCCCAAACTCACGTAGATCTAGGATGGAGTCAGGTGTGGGCATGTAAGTGAGACCCACTGTGTGTCTGCTCAGGCTGCTGTAACAAACATTTCGGTCCTTTTAAATGAACTGAGGTTTGGTTTTGTGGTACTGGGACTGAACCCAGGAGCACTTACCTCTGAGCAACATCCTAAGCCCTTTTCTTATTTGACGTTATTTTGAGACAGGGTCTTGCTAAGTTGTCCAGGCTAGCCTCGAACTTGCCATCCTCCTGCCTCAGCCTCCTGGGTAGCTGGGATTACAGGGGGCGGGGCACCTTTGAGGTGGGCTGTCCTGTGGAAGGTTCATTATGAGCTTGTAAAGAATGTGGATGATGGGTCCTCCTTCCATATCCACAAGTTCCACATGGGCAGATTCAACCAACCTCAGGTTGATAACAATTGAAAAGAATTGCATCTGTATTGAGTATGTACAGGCTTTTTTCTTGTCATTATTTATTATTACAGTACAATAGCTATATACATAGCTATTGTATTAGGTATAGCCATCTCCGTTTGCATAAGTGCACTCTGATGTTTGCACCATCATGAAATTGACTCACAATGCACTTCATTCTGGGTTCCTATCATTAAATAGTGCACAGCTGTATGAACTTCCTTCTCCATCTTTCACTTTCTCTCCATCTTTCTTATACAAGTAGCATATCTCCTTCCATCTAGATTATTTCTCCCCACAACTTGACTTAAGAGAGAAGGGACAGATCTAAAGCTGGAGGAGCCTCTAGGAGGCAGAGGGTGGGATGCAGGGGCCTGAGCATCCGGTTCTACCCATTCCAGGATGAAGATGGAAAGGAACTGTCAGATGAGGACATCCGAGCTGAGGCAGACACCTTCATGTTCGAGGGTGAGGATGTGGAGTGGAACTGAAGGAGGGTGGGAAAGGCCACGATTGTCCCTTTAGGGGAAACTGAAGTGGACACTATTGTCTGCCTGGAGATGGCAGCCTCCATTCAAACTCCTCATCTACCTGCAGGTCACGACACAACATCCAGTGGGCTCTCTTGGGTGCTGTTCAACTTGGCAAAGTACCCAGAATACCAGGAGAAGTGCCGGGAAGAGATCCAGGAAGTCATGAAAGGCCGGGAGCTGGAGGAACTGGAGTGGTCAGTTTTGTGTGTGGGGGGGGCGGCAGGGGAGGTCAGGCAGCTGAAGGGGCATGCTGAGGGAGGCCAGAGCCTTGAGTGTGACTCTCTCCTCCACTACTGATTGATTGTGTGACCTTAGACAAGTCACTTGAGCTTCCTGAATCCCAATTTCTTCAGCTATATCATGGGGGATGATAATGATGCCTATGTCTGCCTCAGGCTGCAATAGTCTTAGTCAGCAATTTTTGCAACAATGCTGCAGAACGAGCATCCCTCACATGCAGTGATTTTCAGAAAGCATTTATTTATTAAATTTTTAAAACGTTATTGTATTTAAAAAAATTTTTTTGTGGATAGACAGAATACTTTTATTTATTTATTTTTATGTGGCACTAAGGATTGAACCCAGTGCCTGACACATGCTAGGCACATGCTCTACCCACTGAGTTATAACCACAGCCCCAGCAAGCATTTAATTATTGCTCATCAGAACATCACTCTCGTGGCTTCTGGGGTTAGAGAGTGGGTTCAGGTCTGTTCCGTAGGTCTCCTCATTCTCACCGGATCAGTGGCTATCCTGGGGCATATTCTTCTCAGTGCCAAGTCCAGAAGCATTAACCCTCACACAAACTGCTTTCCAAATAAGTTACCTTTGGAGGCGCTGGGGGCTGGGACTTCAACATGTCTCTTTTTTTTTTCTTTCATGGACACAGTTTAACCTAAAGCCCTCTATTTGGATTATGCAGTAACCTTTGGTACACATGGTTTTGTTATTCCTTTCATCTAGGATTTTAACATTATGAAATAGTTGGGTACAGTAGTGCATGCCCATAGTCCCAGCTGCTGGGAGGCTGAGGTAGGAGGATCACTTGAATCCAGGAGTTCAGGTCAGCCTGGGTAACACAGTGAGACCCTGTCTCTATACATACATACATACATACATATATACTTACTTAAATGGATCCATACAAGCAAATCAATTGCTGTTGCCCTGAGCCTCTCTAGTTATGCTGGTACCTCCCTGAGTGGCCCCTGACCACCATGTAACCCATCATTGAAGCATTAATGCTGGGCCCAGTAGGGACCCCCAGAAACCAGCCCCAGTGCTTGCTATTTGTGTGTGTGTGTGTGTGTGTGTGTGTGTGTGAGAGAGAGAGAGAGAGAGAGAGAGAGAGAGAGAGACTGCTGAACCCAGTCTGAGGGGTACTCTACCATTGAGCTACATACCAACCCTTTCCTGTTTATATTTTGAGACATGGTCTCACTCAGTTGCTGAGGCTTGCCTCAAACTTACAATCCTCCTGCCGCCATCTCCCAAGTTGCTGTGATTACAGGTGTGTGCCACTACACCTGGCTTGCTGTTTTTATTGGTTACTTTTCTGATTGGTTGGTGGTCAGATACTTTGCATCCTAAGTGTTAGTGGGACAACTGCAAATAGCAGAAGTTGGGCAGCTTTGACACCCTGAATTGTTTTCCTGCCCAGCTGCTCATGTGTGTGTGTGTGTGTGTGTGTGTGTGTGTGTGTGTGTGTGTTTGGGAGAGTCACAGTTCCATTCTCTCATTCTCTCCAGGGATGACCTGATCCAGCTGCCATTCACCACTATGTGCATCAAGGAGAGCCTGCGTCAGTTCCCACCTGTGACCCTTGTCTCTCGTCGCTGCACAGAGGACATCAAGCTTCCAGATGGGCGTGTCATTCCCAAAGGTGCCCACTGTGTGCCCCTCCATGTTGGTGCACTGTCTCATTATGTGGCTACTTTGTTGCCCATAGGGGCCTGGCCATGCCTGCCCCAGGTGCATTGTCCCTGTGGATGTGGCAGCTGTGTCCCCTCCGGGTTTCCGGGGTGCCAGGGGGAAGCCTAGTTGTGAATGGGGGAGATACAAGTGGGTGAGTCCTGTTGGAAAGCAAAGAGCTGGTGTGGCAGGGTTGGCCCTGGGAGGGTGCAAGTACGGGAAGGTGTTTCATTCAGTCACCAGCTGTCACCTGGAGACCTTTCCTGGTTGATGCTGGGCATCTAAAGATGCCTCATCCCCAGGCCCAGGCCTTGAGGATCTCTCCCAGTCTGCAGAGAGCAACGGCAGGGCACACACATTCCCAGCCACATGGGCTCAGGGATGGGCTAAAGGGAGAGAGGAGACCAGCGAAGCCCAAATGTGGAGGGATGTCTCCACCTAGGGAGGTATATCAGGAGTGCTTCTTGGAGGAGGAAGGACAGTCTTGGAGGCTGGAAATGAAAGAACATGTATGCTCATGGAGCAGAGCCTCAGGGTGCAGACTGTAGAATCTTGAACGGCAGGTGCAGGCACTTGAACGTCATTCTGAGGGCAGTGAGGAGCCAAGGGAGGAGGCTGAGCCGAGGAGGAATGATGCTGTATTTGAGAGAAAGCTCCGTGTGTGCCGTGTGTGGCCAGTGCGTCAACCAGAAAGACAATGGTGGCTTCTTAGGGAGAGGCGGGGTTGTGGTGGATAGGGCAGCAGGGTTTTTCAGGGAAGGATGGACAGGAAGTGGTAGCAGATGGCTCAGAGAACACCATGGCTCCAGGTAGAGCTGGGAAGGGGGATGTTTCCCGAGGAGACCCTGTTTCCCTTTGGCCCCACTGATCCCACCTGTCGCCACAGGAATCATCTGTTTGGTCAGCATCTATGGAACCCACCACAACCCTACCGTGTGGCCTGACTCTAAGGTGAGCTCCTGCCCTAACCTGGCTCTAAGCCTTGCACACCTGCATCAGGAGGCAGGTGTGGCTGGACTGCAGTGAGTGTGGGGTTGAATGGAAGAGGAGTTCCTGAAGTGCCTCTGGCCCCCAGAGGTTGAGCCAGGGGGCCAGGCTAGAAAGGCTGGGCCAGCTCCCAGACTCACCCCAGTCTGTTCCTGTCTAGGTGTACAACCCTTACCGCTTTGACCCAGACAATCCCCAGCAGCGCTCTCCGCTGGCCTTTGTGCCCTTTTCTGCAGGACCCAGGTAAGCCACATGGGGAAGATACAGAGCCAATGGAAGTTCAAGTGTGTGCCCATCAGAAGCACAGGCCACGCCCCACCTAGGTGTCCCTTTCACCAACCCAGGTCCTCTCTGCACCCCCAGTGAAGCAAGAGACTCCCAAATCAGACTCTGCAACAGCGTTCCTGGGGGCTGGGCATACCTACTGTGTACCAGAACCTGAGTTCTGGGCTCACATTTCCAACAGCTCTAGGCTGCCACTGTCTCCACTTTACAGATGCAGGAGTTGAAGCTCAGAGGTCATTTATGGGGAACACAAAGCTAGTACGAGGCTGCACCAGGATTCTAACACTCGACCCCAAAGTCACATTTATTCAGCAATTCTTGGGGTCTCATTAACTGTCATTTAGCCTAAGATGCTCTCCCTATTTTAGAGATGAGTCATGTGAGGCCCAGGGACCCCCCCCGCACAAACAGCGGCGGCGCCTGAGCCCATGCCCCCCTTTCTCCAGGAACTGCATCGGACAGAGCTTCGCCATGGCAGAGATGCGCGTGGCGGTGGCGTTGACGCTGCTACGCTTCCGCCTGAGCGTGGACCGAACGCGGAAAGTGCGGAGGAAGCCAGAGCTCATCTTGCGCACGGAGAATGGCATCTGGCTCAACGTGGAGCCGCTGCCTCCACGGGCCTGAGTCCCGCGGGCCGAGGCCCAGGCCCCGCCCCTGAGGAATCAGGCCCCGCCCCAGGTCCTGAGGTCATAGACCACGCCCCTCGAAGTCTTGGCTCTGTAACTGGAGGATCGGGCTCCGCCTTTGACCAACCAGTTGGTGCTGGCCATGCCCCTCAAGGCAGGGCTCCACCCACGAGGGTCTGATCCCGCCCCTTGAGGTCCAGGTCCCGCCCCTTAGTTCCCGTACCTGCCCTCCTGCTAGAGGGACCAGCTTCGGCCCCGCCCCCTCGGGCTCAGGCCCAGCCCCCGGAGTAAGATGGATTGAGTTTCTCAGGCCACGCCCCTGCGGATCAACGTTCCCAGGCCCCGCCCACTGAGCCTTCTGAGGACCTAAGACCCGCCTCCCCAGGCTGGCTTCTAAATGAGGACTTGGAAGTTGGAACCTGGGGTCAGACCCTGAACCTGGACATCACTTTCTTAGACCCCCCCCTCAACTCATTTGGGCGGTCTGTTCAGGAGTCATCCCAGAAATCGGGCTGTTTTCTTTTGTTTATTGTAAGCCCAGATGCTTACAAGCCCCTTCCTACCTCTTTACTCAAAGGCCTTTTGCTGAGGGTTCTAATTTTTGAAGAATAAAAAGAAAGGTTTGCAAACACCTCCTCCTACCCTCAATCCCCTAGCCTGCCAGACCCTTACACCTGGAGCCCAGGATGGGAAGCGGGGGCTCTGGGCAGTTGGGAAGCAACTGAGGGAAGCTGTGTGAAGGGTAGGAGGCTGGGGAGTCATTTCTCCTAGGACGTAAACTCAGCTTTTGGGGGGACAGTTTGTACACTCATTAATTTTGTTAATAGAATGTAGAGTTTGGGAGAAGCAGTGTGTGTGGGGGGGTGGTCCAGGTTTGGCCTTGAGCCCCTGGATACAGGGAACTGCCACCAACTGACATGAGTAAGTTGTTTCTTTGAGGGTGAGCTCAGGATATCAGTTTTGGCTGGGAGGAGTTGGAGATGTCAAACAGGTGGTTGGCTAGATGGTTCTTGAACTTGGGAGATTCATGTTTGGGAGTTGCATGTTTTGGCAGTCTCAGTCTCTAAAGAACCAAGGCTGGGTGGAATTTGTGTGTGTGTGTGTGTGTGTGTGTGTGTGTGAGAGAGAGAGAGAGAGAGAGAGAGAGAGAGAGAGAGAGAGAGAGAGAGAGAGAGAGATGCATGGAGGAGGCATTAAGGACGGAGCCCTGGGAAGCATGTCTCCAAAGTTAGCAGTGGTGAGACTGAAATGGATTGCATGATCCTGTGTGCTCTTCCTGTGTTCTCATTTAATCCTCATACTGATTGATGAGATCACTTTATTGTTTCACTTAACAGAGGTGAAAACTGATACCCCAGAGGGAAGCAACTCACTCAAAGTCCTAAAAATACCTTATGTTGGGGCCTCAGCCGGGATCCTGAGTCCTTTTCTGCCCCATCCCTCAGAGTCCTGGTCCCTGCTTAGGCCTCCAGTCTTTCTGCTTAGAAGCTGGTGTCAACAGGGGCTGGGCTGTCGATGCTGGAGGCAGTGGCCTGAGGTGTCCTGCTGGCAGCAAGTTCTGGGGTCGTGGCCCGGAACCCCCTTTCTGGGGCACTCTGGGATTGAATGGGAGTGTGTGGTCCCTGCACCCTGCCCTGTTCCTGCTGGAGCTATTTGGCCCTTGCTGCTGCTACAGCTCCCACAACCCTGTTCTGATGGAGGATTTTCAAGCTTGCGACGTCTGCCAAACATCCTTTGGCCTCCTTTGAAGCAACCCTGTCATCTTGCCAGCAAGATACTTTGGTCTTGAGAGCCAATACTTCCTGCTCTGCCCCTTCTTGGCAGAGGCCATGAGCACATGACTGCCTCTCTCTGAACTCAGTTTTCCCTTGTCATGTGGATCTTACAGGATCATTGTACTTGTAATGAACACCCACTAAGAGCTGCGAGGGGGAATCAACTTCATTGGGAGGGAGGAGGAAAGATGTGGAACCACTGAGTCCCGGGGACTTGGCTACACCTGCTTGTGTAATTCTAATAATACAACCAGGCTGGGTCTCCTTACTGGCTGCTGCGGACTCTCCTTCTTCTTTTAAGCGGGAACGAAGCTCCCTCTTCTGGCCGGTTCCGAAACAACAGGCTCTAAGGAATTAATTCTCTACTAATTCAACGTTTGCATGTGCACTGTGTGCACGCGTGACTGTGTATGCATTTAGACGACTGTGTGTGCATATGTATGTATGTGTGTATGCAAATGCATGTATGTGTGTATCTAGGTGTATTTGTGTGTGCCAGTGTGTGTGCATGTGGGTGTGTGTTGAGAGCAGAGGTGAGAGAACTACCCACTGAACAACTGTGTCCACACCAGGCTCTTATCATGGCTGGAAGCCGCTGAGAGAGCCCTGCCTGTGCCCAGTCCTGACCCTTGCAGTGCAGGCAGAACATGCTGGAGACACACTGTGCTGAATACTGGTGCATGGATAAGGGTGGATAAAGATCCCAGCTTCCTTGCTTTGGGTGGGGTCACTCAGGTACTATCTACCTCCTGGAGCTCCCCAGCAGGACTGAGCCCTGTCACCCATAGTGGAAACGTCCTATATTAAGGTCCCTTTAACTCTTCCTTCTCTTTCCACTCCACTTTGTGTTTCTTGGGATCACCTCCCACAGAGACAACTTGCAGTTGAATTCTTGTCTTGAGGTCACCTCTGAATAAAGTATTTGCACTTGAACCCTTCTGTCAGAGTCTGCTTCTGGGGAATCCAAAATGAGACACACATGTTGCCTGGGCTCCTCCTGCGCCCTCAGGCCTATTCTTTATTTTTGGTGCCGGGAATTAAACCCAGGGGTGCTCTACCACTGAGAAACATCCCCAGACCTTTTTTTTTTTTTTAATTTGTTTGAATTAGGATATCACTAAATTGCTGAGGTTGGCCTGGACCTTGCAGTTCTCCTGCCTCAGCTTCCCAAGTAGCTGGGTTACATGTGGGTGCCTGGGTCCCTTGGCCTATTCTTGTTCCCTCTTCATGGACAAGGAATATGAGGCTCAGATAGGGTAAGTCACTTGTCCAAGTGTATTAGTCAGGGTTCTCTAGAGAAGCAAGAAGTGTAATTACAAAAAGGGGACTCACGCAACCAGAAGCTGGATAGTCCACAATGGCCATCTGCAGGCTGGAGAGTTGAAAGGACCAGTAGCTGCACAGTCCAGGAGGCTGAAGCCCCAGAATAAAAGGAATCAATGGTGCTACCCTAGACTGAGGTCTAAGCCTTCTGGAGAATCAGTCAGAGTCCGCTTTGGAAGAGTGAAGAAGTGAGAGTCCAACATCCTCAGACGATTACAGTAGCGACCAAGAAACCCTTCAAGAAGAACCGAGCTTGCATCTGCTGCTGCTTTTTTGTTCTTCCAATTTTTATTCCATCAAGCCATCATCCTATCGGTCGGTGCTTCTCAGGCTTAGGGAGGGTCTCCATTTCACTTGGCTATTCCACATGCCAATCATTTCCTCATCAACCCACCCATAATCCTCTTAATCCTTGGCATCTCTTAATCCAATAAAATCGACAAGTCAAATTAACCATTACACGAAGGTCACACAGCTGGCAAGTGGCAGAGTTCAGCTTTGACTTTGAGCTGTCTCACCCCAAGTCTCTCACTTGCCCTCCCCTTCTCCAGAGCATCTCCTCCTTGTCACAGGAATGAACAAGAAATGTTCACAGCCAGCCAAGTCCCTGATGCATGTTCCAGAAAAATCCAAAGCACAGAGCTGTTGTCTGTGTCCTTATTGCTTGGTGCTGAACATGTGCCAGAGAATGCTGTAGGCATTTTAATCATTTCTCCTGTTTCTTTCTTACCTGGTTTTGATATATATATTTTTTTAAAAAGTTGTAAGTGTAGAAATCTGTTGGTAATGCTGAAATGTACAATTTGGTCAGGGTGAGCAGGGACAGCTTTCTCAACTGATACTTTCTCCAGAGTACCAGCTGGGGCAACTGGTCTGAGGCTGAAAGAGCCACTTGGCCCAGCAGCTTGGGAGACTGAGGCAGGAGGATCACGAATTCAAAGCCAGACTCTGCAAAAGGGAGGCACTGAGCAACTCAGTGAGATCTTATTTCTAAATAAAATACAAATTAGGGCTGGGGATGTGGTTTAGTGGTTGAGTGCCCTTGAGTTCAATCCTTGGTACCTCCCCACCCCCACCAAAAAAAAAAAAAAGAGGCACTTTGAAGATGGCTCATTCTGGTGGCTTGCAATTGACTGGGGTTCTCAGTTATGCTCAGGTAGGATTCAAGGAGAATGGAATTAGACTCAGAACGAGTAGGACCTATTATCCATCTGTCTGTCTGTCTATCTACTTACCTGTCATGGTTTAGATCTTAAATGTCCCCTAAAGCCATATTTGAAGGCTTGGTCCTCAGCTGATGACCCTGTTGGGAGATGGTGGAGCCTGTAGGAGGTGGGGCCCAGCAGAAAGAATTTAGGTCATTGTGGGGTGGGGGGGTGCCCTTGAAGGGGACATTGCAACCCAGCCCTTTCCTCTTTCTCTGCTTCCTGGTCACCAAGAAGTGAGCTCTGCCATGAGCCCCCCGGCATGATGCTCTGCCTCACCCCTGGCCCGTTTCTCCGTTTCATTCAGGCTTCTGCTCAAAGGCCACCTCTTGGGGAGTCCTTCCTGATCACTGAGTTCCAACCAGCCCCTCAGCCAGCAGTTACTCTCTAGCAAGTTTTACTCTAATTCCCCACAACATAAGCGACATGTCATCACCTCCACTGCTATCTATTGGTTCAGCAGCCCCAGCCCAGTCCAGACTCAAGGGAAAGGAAATTAGCTCAACCTTCCATTGGGGACAATGACAAAGAATGTGCACCCATTTGAGGGTCTGGGTTAGACCTTGGGATTCTGCATTTCCAAAGTGCAACTGGTAAAGCCGATACTGCTGTCCTAGCAGTCACAGTGTGGGTGGCGGGTTCTTAGACGTCCCGACTGCTGGAGTTCTTCATTCCTAAATACTTCATGAGCACCTCCTGCGTGCCAGGACTCACTTTCAACTGCTTAGCTGTCCTGCCTCACTACTTAACTGTGTGGCTGAAGGAAGTGACTTCTGGTTTCTCTCCTTCCCTCCTGCGCCTCCCCAGACCTAGCTGCTCAACTCTGATGCTTTCCCCTCCACCTGGCTTTTCTCTGGAGGGACCTACCACCAGGTGGATGGATATTCCTCCACAGAGAAGGGAGAATCTGGGGGCAGCACACCCCAAGTTGCAAAGGGCTCTGAGTCCTTCAGGACCTGAAGCTGGGTCAGCAAGGGCTAGAAAGCACATGGGGAGCAGGAGGGCAAGTGTAGGTATCTCCCCAACATTTGGTCAATTGCTGGGGGAATCTTGATCATCATCGTTCTCTCTCTCCCTCAACAGCTCCACCCTCCAAACTCACTCTCATTTGGAGCCTGACTAAGGGGAGGTCTCAGAGGAGCCAAGACTACCATAAAGGGGAATTCCGGACAGTTTCTGGACAGGACGTACCTTCTTTAAGGCCAACATCCTGCTGTGCCTGCAGTGGAACAAGCTGTTACTCAGGAGGCTGAGGCAGGAGGATTGCAAGTTGGAGGTCAGCCTGGGCAACTCAGGGAGACTCTGTCTCAAAACCAAAAACAAACAAAACCCAACATCCCATTTCCCAGATGGTAAAACTGAGCCCAGAGAGGAGTAGCATTTCCCATGACAGAACGAGGACTCCACTAGGGCAGCCTGGACCCCTTTCACTCATGGTCCCTCTGAGCCTTACATGTCCCTCTGTCCTCTGACCTCCAAAGCTGAGCCTACAGATGTGCTTTTCCAGCTAGGCTCTTTATCTCCAGAATCTGACCCAGATAAATTAACGCTGTTGGATTCTTTGTTCCTGCTCCTTGAAGTCATGTCTCAATCAAAGTCCTGGGCTGGCTGGAGGCAGGACTTGCACTCTAGCCAGGCTGTGCCTCTGGTGAGCACAGGTCTCCATCTCTGAGCCTCCTCCTTGTGCCATGAGCGATGGTGCAGAGGAGCTCCAGGAGCCAGGAACTTGGCCCTGCTTTCGGGCCACCCAAACTCTCAAGCTCATGGCTTTTGCCTGCCATCCCTTGGGCTTCGAGAGGCAGAGGCTGCTATCAACCTGGGGGCCCAGAGTTACCTTTGCCCCTCAATCAGGCAGAAGGCACGAAATCCTGAGGATCCACCCACGCCTGTGACCCTGAGGTGGCTTCCTGGGCACCCAGCTGGCTCCTCCCCCGTGTCCTGGCTGCCTTCCCAGGCAGGGAGGAGGCAGTCAAGCCTGTGGGGATTGGCTGGCTCAGCCCTGCCCAGGCCAGCTTCCTGCAGCCTCCTACAGGTCGGGAGCCAGGGACAAAGAGGTCCTAGAGGAGGGGACAGGAGATTGTGGGGACAGGCTACTCCTGATAGGAGGTGCCAGGCAGGGGTGGGAGAGGGGGGCCTTGGCCCAGAACGGGGAGGGTGACACCCAAGGCTGGGCAGGCTCCAGGGAGCTTGTGGGCCTGGTGTCTGGGTAACCGAGTCCCCTCTGGGCTTTGAACAGACTCTCTCTCTCTCTCTCTCTCTCTCTCTCTCTCTCCCCTCGGCTCTCCCTCCCTCTCTTCTCCTTTCTCACTGCCTCTTCTGTGGATTGCCCTGGGTCTTCCCTCTCTCAGTCCTACCCCCAGTCTCAAAGTGTCCACCCCTGTCCAGTGTCCCTGGAGTTTCCTGTCCCTTTCCAGGGCCTCCGCAGCTCACCCTCTGTCCCATCTTCCCTGCAGGATGCCGCAGCTGAGCCTGTCCTGGCTGGGACTGGGGCCCTGGGCAGCCTCTCCTTGGCAACTCCTGCTCTTGGCCGGGGCCTCCTGGTTCCTGGCCCGCATCCTGACCAGGATCTACACTTTCTATGACAACTGCTACCGCCTCCGATGCTTCCCACAGCCCCCCAGACGGAACTGGTTTTGGGGTCACCTGGGCCTGGTGAGTGTGGCATACTCTGATGCGTCTGGACCACCAGAGTGGGCAGGCTTTCTGAGAGGGGGGAGTGGGTTCAGAGAGTTGGGGCCCGGGAGTGGACTCGGAGAAGTGAGGGAGACTGTGGGTAACCTCTTTTTCCTCTGCCCCACCGGATGCCTTCCCTCTTCTCTGTCCCCCTCCTGCCCTGAGCCCTTTCTTTCTCTTTCCCTTCCCTACCCCACTGCTTGGGGTCACATGGGTTACTGCCTTCCTCCCATGAGTGCATCCTGTCCTGCCTGGGGGACTCCTGGGGAAGACTGCACAGAGCTGGGACCCCCGGCCAGTCCACAGTCTCCACCCTTGGATTTGTAGCCTCCGTGGGGCATTATCCAGCGTCTACTTCCTGCCTGGCCCATCTCTGTTGGCCTCAGGGCTGCCAGTTCTCTGCATGAATGACTGTGACCCACCTCCCCGCCCACCCACATCCCCACAGGGACACAGCTGGGCCAGCGGTTTCTCTTCCCACTCCAACTTCTCAGGAACTTCTCTTTTCTTATCCTGCCCTCCACCCCCAGGATGTATCAATGGACCCAAGTTGGCCACTTTCCCCCTCTCTCACCTCTCTCTCCCTTCCTTCCTTTCTTTCCAGGGCTGCACACACGCTCCGTGAAGCCTCTGTCACTGAGCAGCACCCAGCCACTTTCTTTTCCAGAAAGAATTACTGTGGCCTCTGCCATGGTGGCGACGCCTGCTGGGATGGGGCTCCTCACTCACCATCCTGGGCCTCATTCCCAGAGGCCTTTGCTTTGTGCTGTGTGCATCCGCTATTTCCAGAATCATACCTTGGCTTTGCTGTTCCTTGCTGGAGCATCACCTCCAGAGCCACTGATGATGTGTGGCCGCCTCTCACTACAACTCTCCTTCCAGGTTTCTTGTTCACCTCCTCTCATCACCCTCAAAACTTACATCTCCTCTGCATCCTAGTCCAACAACTTCTTTCCAATCCTCCTTCCTCGACCACCTCTAGCTCAGTTCCTATCATGGCTCACAAGATGAAGTCTCTTGCTGTTTGGGATATTTGGAAAAAAAATTGCTTTGGATAAACTCAGCCAACCATGTTCTCTGATGTCTTCTCCACAATGATGCTGGAGAAGGTCACAGAACTGGACAGTTAGGTTCCATGTAGATCCCTATCCACTCACTATTAATGAGATTCACTCTGCACCAAACCTCCCATCTCCTTGATCAGCCTCAAGGACGAAGACTCACCTTTGTTCATGGCCTCCTTTTCCCTGCTCACTCCTCATCTGGTCCCCACCCCTACCACCCTCATGACCTCCAGTTTCCCTAAATCCCATGGACATCTCCAGCCCCATCCCATCCACCTCCCAGAAGTTCTCTGCTATGCTAACTGTCCCATGCCCAGGGACCTCCTCTTCTCTTGGTTCCTGGATGACACCTTCCCCTGGTGTCCCCTGAGCTCCCTGTGGCCCCTCTATCTCCCTCCAGCTGTTTCCCCAGGCTTTTCATATGGGATTCTCTGGGATCTCAAATTCTCCTCCTCCTCTCTCTCTCCTGAAGCCACCTCCTTGGCCAGGGGTCCAGCTCCTAAGTTGACCATCAGTTCCCTCCTGAAGTGAGTTCCAAGTTCACATCTCTCCTGAGCTGGGGACTAAGATTAGAACCGCTTCTAAACTTGTTTTCTGCCAAGCTGGGGAGGAACCAGAGTTAGTGGCAAGAGGCTGTGCTGGGGTTTGGGGACAAGGGAGAAAGTTGGATGGAGTGAAATAGCTATGAGTCCACAATGAATGGGGGTGAATCGTATGGTGTTGGTGGGGAGGACAGAGAGAGAGAGAGAGATAAGGGGAGTTGAGATAAGAATAATCAGAGACATAGAGACAGAGATGCACATATACATGGAGGGGGGAGGGAGGCAGAACCGAGACAGAATGAGGAGAAAAGATGGAAAAACACACAGAAGGACAGATAAACTGGAGTAAAGAAACAAATGCAGACACAAGTATCTATCTATTTAATCTCTACCTCTGTTAGCTACTTATTTATCTTTAATCTATTCACTATATTATCTATTCATCTTACCTGCCTATAATGTGTCATTATCTAGCAATCCTCTATGTATCTATCTTATCTATATTTAATTTATCATTTCTCCAACTGTCAATCATCTGTATGTTCATCTCTGTATCCCTATCTGTCTATAATGCATCACATCTATCACTAATCTATGTATCCATCTTTGTATCTCTTTTATTGCTGAGGTCCAGCCCCGGCGGGGGAGTGGGTGGTGGAGAGAGGGCCCAGGGTGGTCCTGAAGGAGGAGTGGCATCGACAAAAGAAGAAGAGTAGATAGAGCAACCTCCAGAGGACATCTCTCTGCCCCTGGAGGGACCTTTATTTTTATACCTTTTTACAGGTGTTTTCTCAGGTAGTTAATGGATAGCTTCAAAGCCCGAAACTTTTTTGATTTACATAATTTTCAAGAATTACAACCTTTCGGACATATATTGATTACCTAAGATATTGAGTACATTGTTCAAAATATTTTTCTGTAACCTTAGACAATCATGATTAAGCTTTTACGTTTTCACGTCAATCACTAGGTGCTAGGGGACACAACTAGACTACATGACCTATTATTCACTTCTAACTTTAAAGCATACCTATAATTATTTCTTTAACCTTTAACCTTAAAGCATACTTATGGTTACTGGTAAGCTTTCTTACTTCTAAACTAAAATCCCAGTAAAACACACTTAAAGTAGTGAAAGTCTATTATTTAAAAGCCTACTACTCTAAAGTGCCTCTAAACTATGTTAATTTTACATTATTCTATTTTATTTTCCAAGGTAATTCCCTTTTTTCATATGACTTATTCAACTGCTTTCTTAAAGAACTTCCTTGATCCTTGGTCAAAGCACACCAATTCTTATGTCTTTGTAATCTTTAACTAAAGGGTAGGATTTACACCTCAACTCATTTGTCATTTATATTAACTATGTGTTTTCCATTTTCATCATAAGTTTCTGCATAAGGCAAAGGAGGGTCTATTGGTTGGGGAATGTATTTTTATCAGCCTCTTGTCCTCGAGGGGTACCATAAGCTACACGGTGGTCCTCGTACTATGGGCACAGCAATTGTTTTTCTGTAGCTGGGCTGTTGTAAGGTTGTGGCTTTCAGATGGGGTTGATGGGGAGATAGTGTAAATTGTTAACCATGGGATAAATATTTCTGCTGTTAAGGCTTGAGGAATAACACCACTGTTTGTATCCTGAGAGACACTGAAATGCACCTCATGTCTCAATTGTATCCTTAGTCTCATTCTGGGACTTTTCCTGCAATCTCAGGCAATTCGGACTGTACTTCTATTATTGATTGACGTATGCCCTGTTATCCATATCATGAGGATCACAAACAAAACACTTAACATTCCTAATGGTTCCAGTTTCCAGATGGTGTGGCCCTGCCGCAGCATCCCCCACGCTGTGACCCTGTCAGACAGCGGGTGTAGGAACGCCGTCACCATTTTATCTATCATACCTATCTATCATCTATTCACAACATATCACTCTATCTATCTATCCATCATCCATCATCCATCATCCATCATCCATCCATTCATCGTCTGTATACCTATCTAGGAAAAGAGAGGGAGGGTTCAGAGACACATGGATAGAGATACAGAAACAGAGACAGACATGAACAATTCAGGTGGAAGGGGGTAAGAGGTGGGGCTGTGGTGGAATCCAAGTCCCCTGGCAGGACTGGCCTCAGCCTTCTCCTTCCCCAGGCACAGAACAATGAAGAAGGCATGCGGCTGGTGGAGGAGCTGGGCCACTGCTTCCGTGATGTCCACCTCTGGTGGATCGGGCCCCTCTACCCCGTCCTGCGGCTTGTCCACCCTAAGTTCGTTGCCCCCCTGCTCCAGGCCCCAGGTATCTCTCCCCGTCCTGACCCCCGGCCTCTTTTCCCTGTTCCTGTTCCCAGCCCTTCCCACCTCTGGATAGGCCAGGCTGAGCCGGGGAAGGGGCGATATCCCACAAAGACCGTGGCTCTGCCTATAACCGGCAAGTGACTCTGGACAGGGTCTTGGCCCTCTCTGGGGCTCGGGTCTTTTTCAGTTGTGAGTGATGGAAACTCAACTCGGGGCGGTGTAAGCAAAGAAAGGGGATCTATTCACAGTAAAGGGCAGGAGAATGTCTTCAGATGAGCTGGGTTCAGTTCTTCAAACAATACCAGCAAGAGTCTTCATCTCAGTTCTGCTTCCTCCTGGGATGGCTTCACTCTTATGCTGCTAAAGAGGAGTCCTAGGATCTCCAGTCCTGGGGAAAATTCCCTGTAGTTCCAGGATTCTCTTAAATTTGCCTCATTTGAGTGAAGAACCCAGGCTTCACTTAGTCACTGTGACTTGATGGTGGAGGCCTAGCTCAGCTCTGGATGGTGGAACCACCTCTCAGCTCCTTGGATTAAGGCTGGGGAAGGTGTGAGGTGCTGGTTCCAAGAGACAGGGTCCAGCAGCTGAAACGGAAGACGTTTATCTACTAGCTGTAAGACAGACAGTTCCTAGATAAGGAAACTGGGGCTCAGGGAGGTGCTATGACTTCTCAAGTTCACCCAGCATACCAAGGCCTCCTCCTTAGTTCTGTGCCCTCTGGTATGTCTCAGCTGCCTCTGATGGGAGGGTTCCTAAGCTCAGCCTCTGACCAGGGAGGTGGATCCTCTGGTCTTTCTAGGAGCCCTAACACTTAGTGCTTAGTGTGGAGTAGAGGAGGACACTGGGACAGTCTGGGTCATCCCTGTGTCACATCTGGAATGTTAATGGGACCACATTTAAATCCTGTCTGGGGATCATATGTAGGTCACATTTGGTTCATGTCAGACTGTCTTAGACTCTGTTTCAGACCATGTTGTATCATGTCGGGGCAGATCATGTATGTTGTGTCGTGGTGGGTCATGGTAACACGTGTTGTATCCATGACATATGTCCCCAGCATGTCAGGAGATGTCAGAGAGTGCTGAGACAGGTGTTCTAGTCCCTGGAAAGGTGTGTTGTAGAGTGTCTGGCCATTCTTGAGTGAGAGAGATCAAGGCCTGCTGGAGGGTGCTGAACCTCTGCTTCTGCAGCCTGGTCTGGTGCCCCTGGTTCCTCCCTCTTTCCTGATTCCTATGCTCTTGGCTCTCTTCCTGCTGTTCTGGGCTCAGAGGAGGGAAGTGCAGACCCTTGGCTGGGAATCTCCACCCTCCCTCACTCCACGGGCCCTGATGATGCTCACTTTTGCCAGCTATGGTTGTACCCAAGGAAATGGCTTTCTATGGCTACCTGAGACCCTGGCTGGGTGAGTAACTGCAGGTGAAAGGGATTGGGGACAACCTGGGGGGCCAGGGGATGGTGTTGCCTTGCCTACTGCCCACGGCTGCTCTACCAGGGGATGGGCTCTTGCTGAGTGCCGGTGACAAGTGGAGCCACCGCCGGCGCCTGCTGACACCTGCCTTCCACTTCAACATCCTGAAGCCCTACATGAAGATTTTCAACCAGAGTGTGGACATCATGCATGTGAGTTCCTTGAACCCAGGGCCTAGCTAGAAAGGGGCAGTGGCTTCCAACAGGTCTGGTGGTCTGCAGACCTGTTTCTGCTGGTAGATTTGGGGCTATAACTTTTTCTCTCCAAGTCTTGGTTTCCTCCTCTGTAAATTGGGAGTGATAACCTCTACTTAAGATGAGGTCAAGATGGTGTCACAGAGCTGTGATCCTGGCATATAGTGGGTGCTTATAAGGCATTAGTTTCTAGTGTCCCTCACAGAAGCCCTAGAAACTCAACACAGTAATGCTGTATACAGTAGTTCTTTCTGCACAGTCTACTATTTTAAAACTCATTGGCTTTGGTCCAATGGGACTCTTCCATTTGTTTCTTATCTACCAAGCCTGGGCTTGCTAGCATGGCAGACACTGGGTTGAGAGAGAGAGAGAGAGAGAGAGAGGAAACATTCAGTCCCTTTCTATGCTTAGTTTTAGAACTAGCACATGATTTTTTGTGTGTGTGCTGGAGATTGAACCCAGGAGTGCTCAGCCACGGAGCCACAGCCCCAGCCCCTTGAGACATGGTCTTGCTAAGTTGTTTTAGGGCCTCACTAAGTTGCTGAGGCTGGCTTTGAACATACTCTATGGGCCAAAGCAAGTCTCAAATCCAGCTTAGGTTCAAGAGATGGAAAAAAAAAAAGTCTCCACCTCCTAATGGAAGAAGCTACAAAGTCTCAAAGGCTAAGACTGTGCTTTGTTGGACGGTAGCGGTAGCGTGTCTTAAGCAGGGAAGGGCCGTGTTCAGAAATTTTAGGGAAAGCTGGGTACGGTAGTGCACATCTGTAATCCCAGCAACTCAGGAGGCTGAGGGAGGAGGATCATGAGTTCAAAGCCAGCAACTTAGTGAGGCTGCAAGGAACTTAGTGTGACACTGTCTCAAAAAAAAAAAAAAAAAAGGACTGAGGGTGTGACTCTCTGTTTAAGCATGCCTGGGCTCAATCTCTGGTACTAAAAATAAATAAATAAAAAAATTTTGCAACATTTCCAAATCCTTCATTATGCTAATGAAGATGATAATGCTAGCCAACACTTACTCCGCACTGACTATATCCAGAAACCCTGTGCTAATGTGATTTTCACAACCCTCTGAGGTAGAGAGGATTATGATTGCCACACTGAACTATGAAACCAAAGGTCAGAGAGATGATGGAGCTTGTCTAAGTTTACCCAGCAGTAAGTGAGCAGGCATTCTAGCCTGGTTTATGTGACATTGAACCAGGTAAACTTATCTAAATGTTGCTGAAGATTTGGCAGGTTACTGACCTGGGGGAGGGCAGTGAGTTGCCCAGGTGCATGGAGCATGGGAGGCAGAGCTGGACTTGAGCTCAGGTCTCCTGACTCCCACCTGAGTCTTCAGCTCCTACTAGGAACAGCTTCTGCTCCCACCAAACCTGGTCCCTTCTGGGTTTGGGAGCCTCAGGCACAGGACCAGAAGGCTGGTTCTGGGGAGTCCATCCTGGTAGCAGTAGTTGAGCAAGGGCTCTGGGAGCCAAGGCCAAGCCCCAGCCCTGTTCCCTTCTCTGGCCAGGCCAAGTGGCAACGACTGATCTCAGAGGGCAGCTCCCGTCTGGACATGTTTGAGCACATCAGCCTCATGACCTTGGACAGTCTGCAGAAATGTGTGTTCAGCTTCGACAGCAATTGTCAGGAGTGAGTTCTTGCCCAAGGCCTGGGAAATTGGTGGAGGAGGAAGGACTGACCAGAGGAATCAGTGGAAGCTTCTGGAAGGGGTGGGTCAGAACTGGGCACTGAAGGACAGGGAGGGGAAGAGATTGTAGTCTTTCCAGGTAGCAGACTTGGTGTGAGTAATGGCAAGTGGGCTCACAGCAGAGCATGTGCAAGAGTAGTGAGGATACCCCTTGGAAATGAGGTTGGAGGGAAAGAGTGGTTAGATCTTGAGGACACTGAGTAGCCAGGCAAAGGGGTGTGAACTTTATCCTGGGGCTCCCAGGGAGCCATGGAAGGTGTGGGAGGAGGTGAGAGTCATGGTCAGACTGAACTTGGATGTTTGATTCCCTGGAAGACGGACTGTCGCATAGACACAGGATGCAAGGAAACTTAGGAGGAGGTGGTCTTGGTGGAGAAAATGGGGCAGATTTAGGAGAAACCAAGGAAGAATGGGCAGGAGCAGATGTTGAGTGAGAGAGCAAGGAGATAAGCATCAGGCCCATGCTCTGCCCTGGACACCTGGGATTCGAGCCAGCTCAGAGAGAGTGGCGCAGAGGAGTGTGCTTGGCAGCATGCCTTTCTGGATGGTTTGTGGCCCTGGGACCCTGGCTGGGAGGTGCTCCCTGTGTGCTAAGGAGCTGCTTCCCCTCTGTCCTGGCCCTGCAGGCAGCCCAGTGAATATATTGCCGCCATCTTGGAGCTCAGTGCCCTCGTAACCAAACGGCAGCACCAGATCTTCCTGTACTGGGACTTCCTGTACTACCTCACTCCTGATGGGCGCCGCTTCCGCAGGGCGTGCGACCTGGTGCACGACTTCACAGATGCGGTCATCCAGGAGCGGCGCTGCACTCTGGCTGCCCAGGATGTCGATGACTTCCTCGAGGCCAAGGCCAAGTCTAAGACTGTGGACTTTATTGATTTGCTCCTGCTGTCCAAGGTGGGCTTCCCTGAGACTTGAATTTAAGAGATAGTGTGGACCTTGATGGTAAATATTAGATGGAAGTTGAATGGGATTGAGACGGTGGTGGGGAGCCATGGAAGGTGCTGGAGGAAAGGAGAGACCAGTCAGAGATAAGTGCTGGAGGTCACGCTGTAGAAGGCTGCCTCTGAGGAGCACAGAGGCAGGAAACACGGGAGGAAGAACTAGGTCAGGCTCTGAAGATGACAAGAGACGGACCCTGCTTAGACCCAGGTGCTGTCAGACTTGGTCTGATTTGAGGGTCTTGCCCTGTGTCCAGGATGAAAATGGGAAGAAGTTGTCAGATGAGGACATACGAGCGGAGGCTGACACCTTCATGTTTGGAGGTGAGGGACCAACGTGGCAGTACAGAGGGGGTGGGGTCATGGCATTCTGTCCCTCCTCCCCTTTCCCCACCCCTCCCAGGACCTCAATGCTTGGGCGCTGTCCACCCTCTGGTGCTGAAGCAGCCCAGAGGCCCAAGGCTGCCTGACTGCCCCTCAGGCCATGACACCACGGCCAGTGGTCTCTCCTGGGCCCTGTTCAACCTGGCAAGGCACCCGGAATACCAGGAGCGCTGCCGGGGGGAGGTGCAAGACCTGCTGAGGGACCGTGATCCTAAAGAGATTGAGTGGTGAGTGAGTCCTCAGGGCCCGCCCTGAGCCACTGTCAAGGGCCCTGCTCCCCAGGTGGGGAACAGGAAGATGTTTTTGCTGGGAGTTATCTGGGACTCCACATGTATCACTTTTTGAACTTGCTAGGCAACATTTAGCAAAATCAATTCCCTTTTCTGAATCTCTTTTCTTACCTGTAAACTGGAGGGCATCTCTACCCCATAGAGTTACTTGATGAATTAGTGACAATATAAGTCGAACACATGCCACCCAGCATGGATTCAGTAAATGAACCATCCTCCTCTGCTTTGCACTTCTGTCTAAACTTGTATTTCCCTAAGACATTTACTCCCTATTATTATTATTATTATTATTATTATTATTATTTTGTTACCGGGGATTGAACTCAGGGGCACTCGACCACTGAGCCACATCCTCAGACTCCAGAGCTGCTGGCACTCTGGGTACATGCTTACATGCCCATCTTTCCTTTTTCATTTTAATCCTACCTGGACAAAGCTGGGGCAGAAACAATGGAGGCCAGACTGGTAATGAGACAGTGAATACAGATTTTCCATATTGGATGTGGGGATCAGAAGAGCTGGTCAAGGGCAACGGTTGTGCAGAGGCTAGGTTGGGAATTTGTACGAGAAGCCTGGCATGTTTAGGGTTCAGGGGAAGCAGTGGCTAAATCTTTGTGAAGCAGTGTCAAGAACAGAGAGACTCCTGGGGGTGGTATCAGATGCCCTGCTTGCAATGCTTTGAAAACCATGTTTGGACTTTAATCAAAAATGTGTCAGTTTGAGTCCTTTGGAATCCCATATTAGAAGAAAGATTAAAGTGGGCAGGGATGCTGCTGTTAGGGGAGCCAGACATTGGGCACAGATGCTCATGTGCTTGTGGATCAGCGTGGTCAGTTATTGGCTAGGTGCTGTCTGGGAAAGCGAGGCTGTGGCTTGGATGCTGTGTGGTAGAGCCTGAAGACCCCGTAGCTGGAGGCTGACAGATAAGTGTATTTCTTGTAGCTGGACAGCAAGTTCTTAAAGGAAGATTCATGACTAACACAGAGGGCAGTGAGGAGCCATGGCAGATATTTGAGTAAGGGAGGGGCAGATCAGATCTGAGCATTAAGAAACATTTCTCTGTGATTATGAGGGCAAATTGGAGGGGATGAGGTGGGGCCCGGGGGGTCCAGGGATGGGGAAGAGGTATTGGACTGGTCAGGCATTTTGGAAAGTGTCCTCAACTTTAAATCTTTGCTCAGTACTGATGATGTTTTTGTGATTCCCTCACCTTCAAATAATTATGCCCTTGGTAAAAGTTCAAACAATTCATTATAACCCTTTTGTATTGTTTAGGCCATCATTTGACCCCTTCCTGCTTTTGATGATTGCCTGTGTCTTTCCAGACAATGTTGGGTCTGTTCACATTCTCTCCTCTTGCTCATTCTTTCCTTCCCTCCATTTCTGTTCAGCTGGGAGGAGATACAGAGCCCTCAGCTCCCACATTGAAGCAATAGCGCTTCAAGGTCTTTTCTTTTTTTTTTTTAAACTCCAAATTTGAAAGATAACTTTGAATTGTCAAGACAATGATGGGAACACATTTTTTTTCCTTTTCAGAAATTGAAACACTGAAACGTTATAAATTACGTTTCTCTTTTTTTTAATATTTATTTTTTAGGTGTAGATGAACACAACACAATGCCTTTATTTTTATGTGGTACTGAGGATAGAACCTGGGTCCTGCTCGTGCTAGGTGAGCACTCTACCGCTGAGCCATAATCTCAGCCCCTCTCTTTAATTTTTTTAAAATTTAAAAATTTTGAAATATATATATATATATATATACATGGTAGAAAGAGATGTTATGATTTTTAATATAATGTAGAATATGAAACTAATTAACATACCCATCACCTCAACTACTTAACATTCTTTTATAATGAGAATATTTGAAAACTTACTCTCTTAGCAATTTTGGAATATTTAGCACTCAATCATTAGCCACATTTACTATTCGGTTCAATTGATCTTTTTTTTTTTTTTTTTTTTAGAGAGAGAGAGAGAGAGAGAGAGAGAGAGAGAGAGAGAATGAATTTCTAATATTTATTTTTTAGTTATTGGCGGACACATCTTTGTTTGTATGTGGTGCTGAGGATCAAACCCGGCCGCACGTATGCCAGGCGAGCGTGCCACCGCTTGAGCCACATCCCCAGTTCAATTGATCTTTAAATAATGAAGCTTGCTGGGAGTTGTGGCACATGCCTGTAATCTCAGCAATTTGGAAGTTGAGTCAGGAGAATCATAGTTTGAGACCAGCCTGGGAAACTTAGCAAGACTCTGTCTCAAAAAATAAAAAGGATGGGATGTAGTTCAGTGGTAGAGCACCCCCGGGTTCAATCCCAAGTATCACAAACAGCAACCTTCTTTCCCCTATCTAGCTGAGACTTTGGACCTTTGGACTATCACTTCCCCATCCTCCCACCTCACAGCCTCTGATAACAACATGCTAGTCTTTGCTCCTAGGAGTTCAATTGCTCTCGATTCTACTTCTAAGTGAGACAGTACTTGTCTTTGTGTGTTTGGCTTATTTTACTTAACATAATGCTCTCCAATTTCATTCATAGATGCAGATGATCTTGTTAGCCTCTTCCCCACACCTGATCCTGTCTCTTGTCTCCTGAGAGGTCCCTAGAGCCAGAAATTTGTCACATGTCCTTCCAGATCTTTTTCTTGACACTGATTCTATAGATGTGTATAAATATGCCCTTGTTTTTACACTCAACACTGTGTCTTGAAACTCCTTATTTTGAGTGCTATGGAGCATGCCGTAGTTTATTCATCTCACAACTCTGTTGGGGACATTTATGTAAACATTTTCAATTATAAAAAATATTGCTGAATTCCCTTTTGTATCTCTATACCAGTCTATCCTCTAGAGTGTGATAGGACTAGTGATACCTATTTCTACCTCTCAGGTAGCTACATAGTATTCCACCATATCCTTATCAAAACATTCCCCCCTCAATGGAAATTTGTACAGTTTCCATCTTTTTGCTATCACCAACACAACATAGTAAATATCTGTGTATACCGACACTTTGCTTAAACATGTGAATACCTTTGCAGGACAAAGTCCTAGAAATGAAGTTGCTAAAGAAAAGGTACTTGACTTTTATAACTCAATAGCTCTTGGAAAATCCAGTCTTACATAGAAACTGTGAGAATGCTCCATTCCTTGAGTGCTTACCTAGAGTATACACTAAGAAACTTTAAAATATTTGCCAATCTGATAAGTGAAATATAATTCTTTGTTATTTTAATGAACATCAATTAAGCACTAGTAATCTTGAGCTTTGGGTTCATCTGTTGATAAGGCATGCATATTTCTTATTATGTGATATGTCAGTTCACATAAAATTTATCCTTTCTACTTTGGGATTTTTAGTTTTTCTTATTGATGTATAAGAACTCTTTACATATATTTTTTAAAAAGAGCTAATTTTACTAATATTAGTTATTGATGGACCTTTACTTATTTATTTGTTTAAATGCAGTGCTGAGAATTGAACCCAGTGCCTCACACATGCTAGGCAAGCGCTCTACCACTGAGCCACAACCCCAGCCCCGAATTAGCTCTTTTTTTCTGCCATGCAATATCCTTCCCCAAACTATCTTTGACTTTATTTTTTGTTTGGGTTTATTTATTTTGGTTTGAGTCATCTATTTGTAGTCAATTTTATTAATTCTTTTTTAGCTCCTGTTTTTGTTTATTTTTAAATTTGTGTTACTAAACATTTCACACTTTAATTTTTTGCATTTTTTTAGTTGTAGTTGAACACAATACTTTATTTTATTTATTTTTATGGAGTGCTGACAATAGAACCCAGCACCCTGCACATACTAGGCGAGCGCTCTACTGCTGAGCCACAACCCCAGCCCTATCACATTTTAATTTTAAAATGTAAAGTTCTTGTGTGTTTTCCCCTAAAGGGTTTATTTCTTTTCAAATATATTTTATTTATTTAACATTTTATTTACTTTTTATATTTAACATTTCCCTATGAAATCTATAAGTACTGTTTAAGTACTGAGGTATAAGTACTGAGGTAAGAATCTATTTTTTCCCAAATAGCTAATTGTCCCAACAGAATGTAATGAACTTATCTTAGGATTTTAAACATTTGCTTCATAATAAGCCAACTTCATTTATATGTATTTGAGTTTATTTCTGGACTCCACTCTGTGCCATGTATTTACTTAGTGATAATAAGCTCCAAGAATCTTTATTATCATTACTTTAAAGAACACTTCATATTCGATAAAGTTTGTCTCATCTACTTATTTTGCTTTTACATTTTTTTCTTGACTTCTTATTTTTCCACATGATAGCTAGAATCCGATTGGCTAGTCTGAAAAAATAACCTTGAAATTTTTAAATAATTAATTTTTTTCAAATTAAACTCCTCAGTTTCCAGGAGTTGAATTAACCACTCTCTCCAAATTCCTGACTAGATGTCATCATTTTACCATGCAATACTTATTTTCTCCCATTTATCCCAAGTCTAGTCTTCCCTAATGTGATTCTAGAGAAACTGATGCTTTTATTTTGTAAAATTTGTTGTTGAAGTGGGTATATTATAAACTTTGCAAATATGCTGTTGGGTCACAGCTCTGATACTGGTTTTCACCTTTTCCAGAGATGCAGCACTGGGATTTTATTAGCCTTCCATGGTTCTAAGTCCATGTAGATTATTGTGTTTAACTGTCATGTGGTGCTTTCCTCTTTAGTCCCCTAGTGCTGGACACTCAGGCTGCTTCCATCCTGTTCCTGCAGCGAACATCTTTGTATGTGACTCTTCATCCACTTGTCTGAAGACCTCTCTGAAACCTATACTTGGGAGCCAGTTGGAAGGGTTGTAAACACATACCATTTTTCCTTGACCACATACTGGCAGTTGCCCTCCAGAATGGCAGCCCCTGCCCACATCCCCACAATCAGTGCATGAGATCCGCCAACCCCTCCACACACCTCAGCCAATCCTCAGCACTCCTCACATTGTTGATTCCTACCTCAAACAGATATGAAGTAACATCTCATTGTTAATACCTTCCATTTCTCTGATAACCAGTGACTCTGTGCACCCCTTCTTAAATCTCTTGTGGTTGATCTCTGGGAATTCCTAGATTATATGTTTTTGTTTATTTTTTTCTTGGGTCACCTGTCATTTTGTTTGTTGATTTGCAGGAATTCCTTGTATATTCAAGATATTGTTCTAGATCTACATATATCTCTGAACCTCTCATCAGAATATGAATTTGGTCCATGGTATCTTTTATTATATAGTAATTCTTCATTTTTTTGTATTTATCCTTTTTAATTTTGGTTTTATGGTTTGTATTTTTGAGATTTTAAGAATTCCTTATTGCTAGGTCACAAAAATGTCTGTTATTTTCTTTGTAGTTTTTTTTCTTTACTCAGGCTGGGAAGGGGGTGGACTGATGGGGAGAGTTTGTACATGGGTACAAAGTTACAGTTAGGGGGGAGGAATAGTTCTGATGTTCTGCACAATAATGTATTATACATTTCAAAATAGCTGAAAGAGAGAATTTTGACAAAGATATGACAAATGTTGGAAATGATGGATATGCTATTAAATTTACAGTTTTATCTTTTAGTTATGGGGGGAGGCTCCACCCTGCATGTGGAGTAGAGGAGGATTTAGTTCTTTTTGTTTCCATATTGCCAGTTGTCTGAACACCTCCACCAGACCATATATCCATTTTCCAAGAATGTGTGGAACCTCTTTACCAATGCTAAAGTTGATGTGTCTGACTCCAAGCTCTCTGCTTTGTTTTATGGATCTATTTTCCTGTTCTTGTTGCAGTACTATATATATTTTTTAAAATACCTTAATTATTATACCTTTGTAATAGGTCTTAATAATGGGTAGATTAGGCTCCTCTTCTATGATACTTTTATTTTTATATTGACCCAGCCCCTGATGAACTTTAACCCTTCCAATTAGAATAAAATCATTGGGCTGGGGATCTAGCTTAGTTGCAACAGCCTCTAATGTGCAAAGCCTTGGGTTTGATCTCCTGCACCAAAAATAAATAAATAAATAAATAAATAAATAAATAAATAAATATTGTCTAGTTTAAAAATCCAACTAGATTTTTATTGGACCACATTGAATATATACTGATTTAGAAAGAATTCACACCTTTATGTTAATAGGTCATGCCTCCCTAGCATGTGGGTGGATCTTATACATTCAGATAACCTTATTAACCTTTTAAGGATATTTGTTTCTGCTTTTGTTCAATCATTTTAATAATGCTTTCTTTCAAATATATCAATACTTTTAAGAGTACACTTTTGAAAGGTGTATTTTGCTGAGAAATATTTCTAAAAACACCAGGTCAAGTTTTCTTCTAGTATTTTTGTAATTTTGATTTTCTAATGTTTAAACCTTTGATCCGTCTGGGATTCATGTTGCTGTAGGACAGAGGGGCAGAGGGCGGTGGCAAGAGGGTTTCATGGGGCAGCAGTAAGGCTGGGGGAGTTTTTCTGTTTGCTCCTTGGATAATTGTTTGGGGGCGGTTCCTTAGGGACGACCTGGCCCAGTTGCCCTTCCTGACCATGTGCATCAAGGAGAGTCTGCGGTTGCACCCCCCAGTCACAATCATCTCCCGCTGCTGTACCCAGGACGTTGCCCTCCCCGACGGCCGGGTCATCCCCAAAGGT